CAATGTCATTTTGTCTTTAGTGCTTATGCAGTTATGCTTTCAGTTTCATCAATGTAAGATGATTGTTCAATTGATTTACCTATTTATTGACATAAGATCAAATTTAATTAGCAAATTGTAACTTTGTAAGTTATGATGCAATCAAGTTTACCTACAACTGTTAATTTTTAGATCAAATTATAAGTTATCTTATCATACTTCTTAAGTTCTCAGTTATACCGGCACTGCTACCGGAACTATTGATCTCACATTAAAAATAAATTTACAGGTTATCCCTTAGCCTAGAGCCCTAGACTCTTACCGAGTACTGATAGTCATTAGTTATAATTATAAATACCTACATTATAGGCTACATACATACATACACTGCACTGATACAGATACAAGTTACTGAGCATAACTGAGCCTCTGAGGTAACAGTTTTTGACATTATTGATTTGATATATAAAGGTAGAACGTTGCCCAATGCCAAATAGTACATATAACTGATATAAGCAAAAAACGTTGCTATATATAAAGATAAAACGTTAGAACTACCCAGAACAGGAGGCGGAGCTTCACCGTCACGGAGGTAGTATCTACACGCTACCCTACAGTCTACACCCGGACCGGCTGGCGGGCTGGGGCTTTTTTTTTTTTATTTGATACTATGCTCGGGAGTCGGGTCAATATCTTGACTTTCAGATGAACTGATCATTGAGAAATTGCACAATTTAAGGAAAGAGAGAGATTTACCGGCACGCCTTCTTTTAACAACAGTCAGGCGGCTCAGGCCTTCCTCCTTAGTCCTTGGCCCTCGGGGAGGCCTTCTTCTTCTTCTTCTTCTTGTTACTTCTTATAGGAGCACTGGAAACTGGTCCATTTAGCCCCTTACCTAAACAGTTTTTGGTTTACGCCTAACTATCATATAGTAACAATCTAAGTATCTAATAATCTGAAAGAATCTGCAAGAAAAAAAAACACACACACACACGCAAAACAAGAAAACAAAAATACAAAAAAAAAGGAAAAAAAAAA